AGCAGTCCTAGCACCAACCGCCCAGTTGGGATTTACATTCTTTGTGTATTCCAGTTTCTTGTAGGGCTCTATGGATGCACAAACATAGCTCTCTCCTGCAGAAAAATCAACACATTAGCAGATTACCCACTTGCTCACCAACAACAGCTAAGATTAAAGCAAAGATCACAGGACAGTGCAATACAGGTTACTTCTGCTGTACAATAATGAGGAAGTCATGCATTTTGTTTTGACCTGCATCTGCTGTTGAGTTTGTGACTTACCTGATCTCACATTACTCAATATAAACTAAATCTAGGGCAAACTTACAAACATTCAGGAACACTGCTCACCTTCCACCAGCTGGTCCATGTTGGTGATCTTTGTCATCCCATCAATGGTATATATGGTCCGCACCCCTTGGGGCAAATTGACATTATCTGACAGAGATCTTGTGAGGTCAGCCAGGAGTGCTTCTATAGACCTAAATCTCTCCTGAGAAATGGCATAAACAATCCCTTTGAAGTAGCGGTCCCCATTGCGGTAGAAACGAATCTTCTTGGCCTTCTTTTCTGAGCTCAGCGCTTGCAGTGTCCTGGTTCTGTATAGGCTGCAGTGAGCACTGTGAGTGGGACTGGGGAGCCCATTCCCTCTCGAACCCCTTCGGGTGTATCTCTGAGCCTTGTCCCGCTCATCAAAGTGCTCCAGCTCCATGACTGTTCAGTAATATTGCAACCTAAATAATACAAAGAAAATGCTCACCATGTGAATAAGCTCTTTAACTTGAACCTATATAATGCATTAGAGCAGCCTAGTTGCTTACACTCCTGATACAAGCATTGAGGCTGCTACTGCTGCTAATACACACATTAGGAAGTAACATGTCACACCCATTTCATGCTGGTGTGTCTAAATTAAACCTTAATAGCAATGAAATTCACATCCATTTGCAGTGGGTAATACAACATCAACATAAAAACCCATTTAGGGATCTTAGCTGAAAGCCTATTGTAATAGGTAAACCATAAAAACATAATATATCAGGAAAACGGGATAGAACATATGGATTTTCTTGTTTTGGTGCAATCTCTTACCTTTGAGGTGAGGACAGATGCAATCAAACGTGTGTCTGCAAGTGCAACTTGTCTCAATGAATCATTTATTCATTTGATGCCTTGGATGAACCATGCGTCCCTTTGTTGCCCCTGTGATGGTGCTCTGCCTGTCTGCCTGTCGTGTGTCTAAGCTGCTGTGTGCTCACATGTAGAGAGGAGGCAGGGCTGTAGTCGGTGTCCTCCACCCTCCCTTACTCCTCTGCCATTGCAGTGATTTACACCGGGCTGCTCGGGTGTCAGCATTGCTCGTGCACATAGCTGTCAGAGCGCGCAATAGCGTGCACTCGCAAAAAACCTCTGTGCGTATTGTTTTGACGCATGTCCACGTTCAGTTTGACCTGGGACATTTATTAATTAAATAAATTAAAAAACCTCCACCCACAGACAAGCATTTAATTAGCTCAAAGACACCAATTTTAAAAACGTCTCACCTCTAACAAACAGGGTAGTCATTAGATTCCGGGCTCGAGGGTGGGAAGAAATAACTGGTTATGGTTCAACTGGTTATGGGTAAAGTTAGGTTCAGGTTTACGTTAAAGACGGACACATATCGACGGGGAGCCAGACTTAAACACAACACCACTCGCAGTCCTCACCAGGCAAAGCTCGGAGGCACTTGAATGTATTACCAACAGTACTTTCTAGCCGTTTTTCATTTATGTATTTAACTTACCATTTGTGATGATAATGTAGGCGTACAGTCTTTAGTCCATTGCTGAGCAAGCTAAGCCTAACAAACAGCTGTATCAAACATCCCAAGCCGGGACTTTCATTACTTCCGGTTGAACTGTTAATTTCATTGCTGGAAAATGGATATTAAAATACTTCTAGTCAAAGTGTCTGAGCAAAATACATCCTTGGTTACAGCTAATTATGCACTACAAATCTGATGTGCCTACGTATCTGTTCTGTATTGAGACCACACAGGCACACAGGTGTAGGTAATTAATTGGTTCAGTCACACCCGGAGTGCGTGGATAGTAATGAGCGGCTGAAGGACGTGTACAAAACGGGAACAAGTGAATTACCCAAAACTACACAAGTATGAGCAGATGACCACCTAAGGGGTAATTTGCACGTGTTTTTGTATCAAAATCTTCACAGAAGGGTGTCACTCTTCCAAAGGCTTGCACCTTGGATGAACAATTGATCTGGGAGCAGGTCTTGGACACATTCCAACTTTTATGGCTGTCAGCAAGTTGAATTTGTTCAACCTAATACAAAAATTTACTCTATTATAGGGCACTTGTCCAGTTGGCCTGCTGAAGGCACAAATTACTTATCCTTAAAGTCTGGAAGGTTATTTTCAAGAAGTCACATTTTGCTGATCAGACTGGTGTTAAAATAATGAAAGATGGAACTAAGGTCTTAAAACAATGGACTTATGACCTGTTGAAAAGTTGACTTAGTTTTCTAACTGCTTTTAGCCTACCTGTAGGCCTATCTTCAAGTGTTATGAGAACATTAATCTGTTTGTTTAGTGTCTTTGATCCTCTGAGTATGAAGAGGAAATCTAGCTAGATGTACTATAAATATCCCCTTAGAAGAGTAACTCATCAAATGCATATCAGCATTAGTGTTTCTCTACATTTATTTTTAGACAAATCTGGGGGCAAATCATTCCAATCACATGAAACTTCAGCATCTGAGAGGTAAGAGAAGAGCACAGATGAACACTAATTTCCACCTTTAATACATTAGTTTTTAGAAACATTTAAAACACTTTTAAATGGGAAAAGTGCTAATGATTTTTTTTTTTTTTCTACAGAAGAAAAGTCAGGCTAAAGAGAAACACCTTACAAAGAGCAAATTCTGCTGCTAAGAAGTCAACCGAGGGTATGATTATTTGCTTACTTAATTTATTCATTATTTTGTGTATGGTTGCAGATTTGTTGACAATGTCTTGCAATCCTGAGATAACAATTCTCAAGTAAATGAACTGCATTATTTGAGAATCTTTGCTGCAGTGTGCATTTGTTGACATAATATTTAATTTCAGATGTCTCATGGAGATACACTCAGCAGAAGAATTGTAAACAAGAAACTCAGCCATCTATTGCAATAACTAATCCTCTGAAAATGGATCAAATGCTCCCTACAGCTGAAGGCCCAGCCACAACGCATACCCCGCCAATACTGCTGGACAAATCAGCTGTTCCTCGGGGACAAATGCTGCCAGTGTGCCAGGATCAATCTCTCTCTGCCTCGTTTCAGTCTGTGGAAAATAACTGGATGAACCTTACCCCTGCATTTATGAACCCTACTTCATGTGCTTTCACATCAGCAACGATCGGCTCCTCTTCACCACAGATGGGACTGGACACAACTTCAAGCCATGTGCTGTGGGATGTCCCTCCTGGCCTGATGGATCCTGTTGGTCTTTCATCAATGGATTTTGGCCCATCCTACAGCCCACCTGAACAGAAGACTGTAACAAATGTCATCTTACCTCCAGGAGATCAAAGTCAAATTGATTCACCCCTGGTTGGCCTAACTGACAGTGTTTCAGCAGTAGAATTTACAAACCAACCACATGTCCCATTGGTTGTGTTTCAAAGTGCAACTTCAATTTCTGGTGACCTGACACCTGAGAATGGAAATCAGCCGGTGCCAGATGCTCTGTGTGATCCAAGACACCTCCAGGAGAGTGACCTCCATAGAAGTAGCCCTTTGACAGACAATCCAGAGGGTGTGGTTAGTCCCTTTTGGCTGGATTTACTACTGGATACCAACAATAACCCTGAAAATAATCCAACTGACTATATGGTTTGAGATGTCACTAATGATATGCTTAATATATAAAAGCATATTTGCAGCTTTGATTGACCAAATATTAGAGCCTTTAGTGACAATATCAGTGATTTCTGTGTGCTGCATGGTATGCAGTCCTCAATAGATGTCAAAAAGTTAAAGATGGAATGTCCAGCTGTATTACTCTTTAGTTTTTCAGCAGAACATTGTAAGAATTATGATAGCTGTGCATCCCTTTCATTTTACAGGTACAGTTAATACAGCAGAGCAGTCATGTTTTGTATTTTTCATCTGACAGTTTTAAAAATAGCCAATCCATATAATGGATTATTTGTGTTACATAAATGGGAAAGCATAGGAGGACTGTTGTTTTTGTCTTTCAGTTGAATAAAGTGTTTTCTTGAATATTTCTGTCATTTAGTTTGAATAATAAACTAAAATATAGCCATTGTTATCTATGAAATGAGTGGTAAATGGCTGCATTTATATAGAACTCATTCACACGAGCAGCAAAAAGCTGCAATGCAAGGTGCTGGCCTGACCATCAGGAGCAATTTGGGGTTCAGTGTCTTATCCACTTTGATGGTTGACAGTAGGGCTTTGAACTGGAAAATAATCTGCAATTAAATTAAAATTTGAATCTTAATCAAATTATCTTTGAATTTTTAAAAATTTTAGTTTAAAGAGTAAAATTTTACTGACTCAGTAGCACAAAAAAGAAATCCCTGTATATAAGACCACAAAAAAGCATGGAATCATTTATGAGTACATTTATTTGAATTTCTGATTGTTTTTCTCAAGTAGGCTACTTTATAATCTTGATTTCCTTATTTTTTAAAGAAATGTAAAAGTAATTTGATGATCCATTTTCTCTACTGATGTGCTAATTTAGGAGAAATTTACAGAATAAAGCTACGGTGTGATAAAATATTCAGTGATAATTAACATGTTGTGAAACATAAAGCCACTAGGTGGCTGTATTAGGCTGATAGATTCAAGATAGTATTTACAACGTGTTAACTACATTTTAACAGCTGATCTGTCGGAATAAAAATGCAAATGGTATTTTCCTGCCCAAATCCATTCTTTTCTTCATATGGAACAAAATAGGTTACTGTGCCTCCCAAAATCTAACAAAATACTGAATTTCTTGTGTCTTTTAAACATTTTATTTCTTCAGAAAAGTTCCATTATTTCAATTGGTGAATAAAATCTCAGTGCGCAACCAGTTAAATAACAATTACCTACTGAGGGCTTAAAGCTGGAGTCTGACAAACCAGGTCACTTCATTCAAAAAAACAAAAACAAAAAACTCCACTGGTTTGGAAACAAGCATCGCACTTCAAAATTCACATTAGTTAAATGTGTTGTCGGTACATTAAAATCTACATAGATTTTTATATGAAATATAATATGAAATATTAATATTATAAACTAACATTTCTGAAAATATGTGGTTACAAGTGGACTGAAATGCACAAGACAGCACTGCAGATTGTAGCAGAACAAATCAGTTTTACAGCTTTACACAGCAAAAGCTCGCTTGCTACATGTTTATGATTGAACAAAAAGACATAATAGACTAAGGACAAGTTTAGCAGCTTTAGTTTTACAAAACATTAGATTTTTGCATATCATTTGATATTTGCAGGCACAGTCAGCAGCAGTGATTACTTCTCATTTTAAACACCTCACTTTTGTCTGAAACGTTGTATCTGAAGATATTGACATACAGATATTTTTTTATCATTCATTCAAAGTATATAAATTGCACTTACCCTACCAGGGAAAAACTCAAACACACACAGATGTTTCTTTAAGATGAGGAAAGTTTCCAGTGTCTAGTCAACAACCATTCAATGCTTTGTTAAAACAAACAGCAGAGTTAAACTGTTATCTTCCAAGTCAAGTGATAATACCTGAATGTTATACTGTGTATCAATATGCTATATAGATTAATGTTTTAATATGTGTTTTATATCCTTTTTGTTGCTTCACATTTAGGTCCATCTACCTTATTTTACATAAAAATTAAAGTGCTTAAAGAGCTGCATCAAACTGTAGGATATGAATATAACAGTTGTTATCTTTTGCATATGGTACATGTTTTATAAATAATTTATATTAAATATAGATTTATCTGATAGAAGAAGAATAAAAAAAAAAAAAATCGGCTTTAAGGCATTGCTGAGGGAATTAAGAAGGGCACTACCGGCTATTTGTCTGATTTCTCCACTTGCTTCCCGTTATCTGGTTTTTCCTGAAGCTTGTAGTCTTCCAAAATGGCCTGCGCTGTGTGTTTGCCAGTCCTTTTTACCACAGCTTTGATCCCCAGGTTGTCAATGTTGAAGGCAGTGATACCCACATTAATGGCAGAATTGACAGCGTGGTCTGTGGCTTGTCCTGCTGCGGCCCCGTACCTTCATCAGAAGTCAGATTGGGTGAGAGGTCAGAGCAAGAGGCAGGAGACAGAGGATTTGGGGAAAATTCATTAATATGCAGCGTAAGGATTGCAAAGATGCCATGCTCTATGTGAATTTCACCCATGCAAGGGCACAATCTTAAATTAAGAAATTTATGACAGTCAGAGTCTGAATTTTTCACTGTGGTTCAGATATCTAAGGGCAGGCAATACGGATATAATCATCTTTCATTGTATATAAAAATACAGTTTTTTCCACAATATGTATATATTGAAATTCAACAAAAAAAAATTCAAGATGAAAGCCTAGATGATAATGTTTGTGTATGGGTAATCCAGTAAATTAAATAAATCAAGGTACTTCACTTAATGGTAGAAATTGTATCGCAAAAACACTATTTTCTCATGATATATAGCATGGTATCGCCCACCCCTATTGAAATCAATAATCAACTATATTGCATAATGTTCATCATTTGAGTATGTAATACAAATTCAGGAAGATTTCAAATCAGGCAGGGCAGAAATGTTGCTAATTGTGATATTTCCTTTAGAAACACTTGGAGAAATCAGTGAAAGCAGCACCATCATGTGAATTGCTACAGAGGGAAGGGCAGTGAATTACTTTGTGCAAGTGCAAATCATTCCAGAAAAATGTCATGCTTGTGATTAGTGGTGTCAAGAGTTAAACAGCTTATATTATTAAGAAAAATTACACTTCTTCTCATTAGGTGGGTCAAAGATGTTTTGTAGACCCCTAAATCTGCAAAGCAAATTCAAGAGGAAAATGAGTGAGTGCACGTTCTGTTTTACTTGGATAATGCAAGAGGTCATTTGCAACATACACATCAATAACCTGTCTAGCAAGCAGTGTTGAGCAAAAAATGTCATGGTTGTATATTCAGGCAAGTGACAGTGGTCAGTCCAGTAATTTAAAACAGAAAGGAAGACTTACTTGTGTTTTACTGTGGTGACGGTCTCTGAGGCTACACTCGTGGTAATGTTCTTTGCTGCTACTTCCAAACCAGTCCACATGGTTGCGAATCCTGGGCAAATACACAGAAAAAAACAAAAACAAAGCATGTTAGCACATTTCAGTACATTTCTTATATAAAACTTTTTCTTAGAGAATACAGAGTGTAGATAAACTCCACCTTGCACTCCACTGGCAGCCACCACCATGGCTCCATCTATGTTGGAACGCCCATCCTTGTCTTTCTTCATAGACTCTGGGATCAGCTTGCCTCCGTGTTTTTTCACGTGTGGAGCCAACTCCCGACCCACACAGCCAGCGACAGTACACACCCCGTCCACTGCAGCAACACAGCATTACTCAATTAGAGGTCCACTGCCAAATAACCACACAAGGTCAGTAAAAACATGCTGACTGAAGATGACTTAGTCACCTAGAAACTGGCTGACTTTGACGGCTCCCCCAGTGGCTTGTTTGGCAACATGGAGGCCTTTGGAGACGGTGGGGCTGACGTTGGTGGGTTTGTCCTCTGGAGTGATGTGTTCTCTGAGTTTAGATGCCCCTTTGTGAATAGCTTTGCCTGTGAACTCAGCTCCTTTCACCAGACCCCAGCTTAACCAGGACGCACCTGAAAGGCCAACAGGATCGCACAGGGTTAAACATGCTGGACTGCTGATCTACGTGTGTGACCAGTGTCTTCTAAACGAATTACTAACAAACTAAAGCATAAGGGTATTCACGTTTGAGGACACAATGTGGCCTCACCTGTCAGGATGCCATTTGCCACTTTTTCACTCCACTCAGGCAGAGCTTTATCCTCCTCGGTCTCCGCTGGTACAGCCTCCTCAGGTGTAGTGATGGACACTTTCTGACTGAGATTAATGGTGTCCGCAGCTTCATCTGAAGCCTGACCAAACAAACACATTGGTTAGTTACTGTAAGATGAAGACAGACAATGTGGGCTGAAAATAAGAACTACTTGTCAGTCAAAATCTTTGGACAATTTGTCCGCTACTTTGTGTAAGCTGTACACATCTCCGTTCCGATGCTCGTCTCCAAGTAACCCCCCTCCCCAAAATTCACAAAGCTCCTCTCATTATTCTGTGCTTCTCGTTACAATGCACTATTTGTTTGGCACAAAGAGACAGTCATTTTAAAATGTCTCTGTCAGTCAGTCGGAAAACAGTCTCCCTTTGTGCTGAAAACCTCAAATCTTCTGCTTGACCCAAAAATGAGAGAAACACAAAAGTGCCTACTTGCTGAAAAGGAATCGCATCCATCAGAGCAGATAACTAGCTTTACTGCATACATCAGAAATGACCTTGTTTGGCATCGATCTGAGCCAGCACCTCCATCTCCATCATGGCTGAACTGGCACTTGTCTTTCAGCTGAAGCTGTGAGGTTGTTCTAGCTGCTGCAGATAAGAGCATTATAACTGATTAATTCTCCTCACCTGCCTGTCTAAAATCCCCACAATGCTGAGGCAGGGGTAAGTTGGGGAAGTGTGCCAGCTCAGAAGTAAGTAGGAGTGAGAGTGTCATGCCAGACCCAAAACAATGAAAAAGTTTGGAACCCTCTGCAGACTCAAAGCATTGTGTAAGCGGCAGCTACAATCTTTTTCATGGGAGGAACAGATTTAATATGTGCAGAATTTCCTATGATTGTAGAATTTGCTTGTGATGACTGACTAGGAAAAGAGAGGACAGTGGTTGGAGACTGTAAAACAGCAGTGACACCACAAGCTAAGAATTTCAACATTTTGCTCTTTCAACTGCATTTCAACGCAGAACTTATAGACATAGAATATATGTATGTGTGGGGAATAAATCTAGTTAGTTAGACACTCAGATCCTTCTATATGGGAAATGCTGATTTGTTAAGTCACTATTAGTAGCTGAAGCTCAGGTTTTCTAAATTAGCATAATAATCATGGAATTATCAGACTGATGAGGCTGATCTCAGTTTTTAAAGCATAAACAAAATGAAGATAAGACTTTCATACGCCTGTAACTACCAATAGCTGCAGAGCACTCCTACTTCACAGTCCCATTTGCCTAAAATAGCTCTCAGTGCCCCCCGCTGGCACTAGAGGATTTGCCAAAAGGCATTGTGTAACAATTCTTTTGTGACTTCAAATACTTATGTAAACACATTTTGATGCGTAAATAGTAGAAATACATTTCAGAGAACAAATTCTCTGAGCATTTGGTCAGTGAGAAAAACCAGCAAAAAATCCATGTCATTAATCTTCAGATGATCTGTACCGATATGTATTCAACTACATAGATCCCATTTGCATTTGTCAAAACGTGTGTTGTGTTGTCACTGATCTGAACTGACCTGAACCCTGAGATCTGTCATTTGGGACAGTAGGTCTTGAAACAGTTCTCTGTTTGCAGCAGGCAGCTCAGAGGACAACACCACCCCCACATAATAGCCTGCAGCTGGCGCCATCATGTCCGGAAACATAAACACACCAGTGTTACACAGCAGCACTGGAGAGTCCATCGCCATGAGAGGGTAGAGCCAGTCGCACACCTGCCAGGAAGCAAAAGTTAAGAATAATAAACAATACTGGAAAATCTGATATTAGGTAGGTGTATGATGTCATGACAATGTGTATCAGGACAAAATATTTTGCCCTAATATACAGCAAAGGACAATGATGAGTGAATTTACATAGAAGCCAAATGCAACAGGGGAAAAGAGATGCGCAAAGACAGGTTTACTAATTTATAGGTTTTCAAATGTAACGAGCCTGACATGACTTAAAGGAGCTTCTGATTAGTGCCACACAGTGAACCGTCTGAGAGAAGACAACCCAGAGGACACTGTCTCCCTCTGACTGCTGCATGTCTAACAGGATTATAGGGCATAACCGTGTTAAGCAGGATTTAGATAATTACTTGCATTCATGTGAATCACTGATGTCACCCACTGGCAATAGCACCTGGGAAATTCCCCAGTGAAGAGTCAAATTTCAGTCTTATGACCCACTAGTGTCAGTACATTGACTGTTTTAACCGACAGCAGGGCGAAACATTGTCAAAATGCTCAAAACAGGAGGAGTTGGATAACTTAGATTAAGTATTGATTTAGTTTCTTAACAAAAGCCTAATCCGATACGTTTAAATAGCTTTGAGTAATTTCTAATCTTATCACTGGCTGGGGACAAAGTAACAGTGTCTGTAAAAGTGGACTGATTTGTTTCTGTGCCTCTGATTGACTAAATTACACCAGATCAGAAAAATAAGAAATGTCTGCTGGGTTTGAGCAATGCAAACATTTATGTGGCAAAAGAAAAAAGAAACGAGAAAGGTTATGTTTTTGTGGTGATACAAATGCACAATGCAGAATATTCCTGAACTGTTTGATAGTAAAAAAAAACTTGCTGTTGTGCAGAATATAGCTGCCAGTCTGTCAATGTTCAGGGTTTTTCTTTCATAGAGAATGTCAACACAGAAGCTTTTACCACAGCAGGTAAAAATACCTCTTTCATGAGTTTCATTTAATCTATAACACCGCCAACATTAATTGCAATGGCAGGATCCCTCCAGGGGTGACTCTTGGTGAAAACACAGCCAGATGATACTCCGCTTGATCAGTGCTGAATTCACTGTACTAACAAGATTCTGTAAACTTGTCTGCTGTGACAATAGAGAAGAGAGGACGATGACTGCAGACAGAGAATGACGAGGACAAAAAGGGTCAGTGTTACGGATCAACTTGTTTCTCTGTAAAGTGGCGACTTTCACCTGATTGCATTGGTGGGTGCCAGTAGTGATGGCAGATATCTGGAAACAGGAACATTACATTTACCTTGTTGACTGATGTTTAAGCAAAAACTGAAAATGCTGAACATCATTAATGTAGGATTCATTACTGCTGCTGTATTTGACTGTAGAAGTTTTACCTATTTTCTGGTATTTCAAACACAATACTGTTAAAAAAACACAGTTCCTTTATTACTTAAATTAAACTATATTAACACTAGTTTTCCCCCATGTAGAGAGTTGTAAGATCATCCAGGTCCTATCCAGTGTTTCCTATGTATAGAGGAAGAAAAATTAGGCAGCAGCCAGTCTATGGTCGCAACAAATTTTAAGATGTTGCATATGTTTAAAGTTATTTCCCTGTCAAAAAATAAATTCATGTTTAATAGGTCATGACTGAGGTAACATCTTTGCCCAATTTTAGTCCAATAATGATACTGATCTGGGATTTCCCAGGAGGATGACATCACATGCATAAACCCAGTGGGATTAGGGCAGTGAGTCAACAATGCTCACATGATAACGTCCACAGGGCAAGGGATAGAGATCATTAACAAGCCTATCTCGGCCTGCTGATGACTCACAGTAAGAGGTCTTGATGAGCCGAACAAACATCTTACAAAACCAGGTGAAAGGGCATAAGAAAGACTGGAAAGAGAATGGATTACACTGCAATGATGACATTTCACTTGCACTCATTGCATCACATTGGCACGAGAGTGGCTTATCTAGTCCTTCCGAGCTTTATAGTAGAGAGTGTTTTAGTGTGCTGAAACTTGGGGTAAAATATTTATTTTCTCTTACCTGCAGAAATGCTGGTGGTCGGTTAGGCATTCTGTCAGAGTGATCGCTGGTAAACCTCACCAGCCGCAGGTAACCTGGGTACGATGGAGCGCTCACTTGACCTTCCGGTGTCACAAAGAATATCTGCACACCATGAGGGATGTAGAGCAGCTCCTCTCCCTCTTCGCCCATACTCTGGGGGGATGGTGTCGAGTTAGATGTGCGACTGTAGAACTCATCCCCAACCAGCGACATCTCCCCTGCTTCTGTTCCATATGAAATAGATAAGTGGCCATCAGCCGCCTGAGGAGAGTAAGCTGGAGGCTGTTCGGCTGGGACCACAAGCTGTCTGGTAGGAGAAAGAGGAAGACCCACACCACTGCATGTAGGTATGCCTCCTACAGCTCCTGCTGCATGACCATTAGCAGAGAGTAGGCTTGGTGGAGCTGGCCTCTCTGGCTTCTCTTTGGTGGGGAGTTTTGGGTAGAGACATTCTGCAGACATGTCTGTAGCACCAGGGCCAGACACACTTGTAGTACTCAACATAGGTGCAGATCCAAGGTCAGAGCTGGTCTCTAGTATGGCCAGGCGAGTGGTGATGTTGTTCAGTGTCTCCTGCATCTTCTGCTGCATCTGTCTGGCTGATTCCCAGGAGCCGCCCACACACTCCTCTCCCTGTGAAGGCACACTGATAGCTCTGAGAAGGTGCTGTCGCCCTCGCTTGTAGAGCTCCAGGGCCTGTGCCTTGTCTCCAGCTTCGTCTGCTGTCAGTCCTTTATTGATGCACTCAAAGGCTCTCTCATAGCCATCTTTGATCACTTGCAGTCTGGCATTGTCGAATGCATCTTGTTTAGCTTTCTCCATCCCCTCTGAAACAATTTGTCCAAACATGGGTTGACTCTGACACATCACATATACATATAGACATATATACATACATATATATAATATATATATATATACATATATACATACATACACAGCGTAACAGGGCAGTCTTTAGCTTGAATCTGACACATTACAAAATACGTCACGTAACTTAAAGCTATTCTTATTATTCAATTTACATGCTACTACTTATTTAACATAGGCGCCAGTGTTACGATCACGATATCCACAATCAGAAGTCATGTCATGTCACAAAAAAAGTGACATGAGTATTTACATTGACTAACCTCTCTGGCTCTCAGTCATGTGAGTTGGTTTACCTGGTGTAAAAGAGGTCGCTAAAGTATGCTAAAACCGGCTAAAGTTGATGATAAAGTTACCAACAGACTAACAACAGCTAACGTCTCTGTTAACACGAATTCAGCTGTTACGCCGTGATTTTGTACCAACAACAACATAACTAAAACGTTAAGACTGAAAAGCCTGTTGACATAAAATGATTAGTATTAGCTAGTTAGCATTGGTTCCTTGATTAGCTAACGGTATCCATGCTTACCTGAGTGAGAGTAAAACTCCGACGAACAGCTTAATTAGCCAGTTAGCTAACTTGTAGCTAGTGCGTTCTTGTCAAATAAGGATCCTACTAGCGTTTACTTCAAACAGCAACTGTCTTCCTGAATAAAGTTGTGGTCTGTTGGTAGTCGACTCCCTTATGTAGAGTAGTGATGCTACACAGATTACTCGGCACAGTAGTGACCTTAAAAAGCAAAAGAATCTTGACAGGATGTGTCGATGCTTCGCTTCAATGTAACAAAACATATCCACTACTGTCACATATTTTAGTTTTATTTTGAAAGCTAAAACCGGACGTTTCTGTATGACATCATGGTGGCATCGTCGTGAATTTGACCTGTTTGAATTTGCTGCAGTTTGTGACTGTGGCCACTATGGGTCAGTAAACACCCATTCTAAATACACAGTTACTTCTAGAATCCATGGATGTACATCCGTTAGAATCGCGTGTTTTACTGCCACCTAGTGGCCACAGTGAGGAACTGACACAATTTCTAGTAAAGTTAGCGTTGTTGCAGAAATGATAGCAAACTACTGCTTCCTGTACATACTTTCAAAGTACAGTGGCAAAACGAAAGCATTCAGAAAGTAATTAAAATCTAACTTAATTTTTTTCCAACTTTGAATTCCTCCGACTAATGTTGGGTTGCATATTTGTACCAATAAATGAATTTCGCTGCCCCCGCTTGTCCCATGGTGACTGCTCCCTTACTGTACTTAATGTAATGTGTGTTTACAGTGTGTAGCTAGTGGCTAAAAATAGGAACTTCAGCGAATTACGTTAATCAAGGTAGCATCAATGCAGACATGACAGCATGGTAACACCTCCGGTAAATACTTTCAAAATACAATATTCAAATAATATAGTCATACAGCTTACAGATGCCTTAATTTGCTAAATGTATTATTTTGATAGCCTTCTTGTGTTTAGTTAGTATGTAATGGTGGTGCCTCGGGAGTCAGTTCCCAAGGCTTTTCGGGACTTTCAGGACTGCAGTCCTAAGATCGCATTTCTAAGACCTTGGTTTTTCGCTACAGCGCCAGCTAGCGAATTGTTTAGGTTTAGGGGGTAAGCGTTGTTCTAAGTACATATTTTTAACGAATTGGGTTTCCGGTACGGTGGCAGTGTCACGAAAACGTAGCGACATGCCGAATTGGCGTGAGAATATTTGGAACATCGTGGGCCTTTTACCGCCCTCCGGTGGTATAAATGAGGAACTACAACATTAAATTAGTCAAAGTAGCGTTAATACAAACATAGCAGCATATCACCGTTTCCGGTTTGGTCTTTCAAAATACATTATCCAAACTGAAATGATGAGTAACAAACTGACAGAATTATCACTATCACATCATTACATTACTTGTTATATAATTTGTTGAGCTGACAAAAAAGTAATATTATTAGTTGTAATAACAACAACAACAACAACAACAAAAACAATAAAAATAATAATAATAATAATGATTATAATAATGATAATAATACATTTTATTTAAAGGCGCCTTTCTTGGCACTCAAGGACACCGTACACAGTTACACAAATTGAGATTAAAACACATTAAGAATTAATTAATTAATTAACAACAATAAAAATGAAATATAAAAATAAAAACAATACAAAAGTGACAGAGCAATTGGCATCAGATGGAAAAGGCAGTTTTAAACCGGTAGCCAGTGGAGCTGTTGGAGGACAGGAGTGATGTGGTGGATGGAGGGGGTACGAGTAATGATACGGGCAAAAAATTAAAAAAATTATAGTAATAATAAAGATGTTATGTTTACATTTCAATCCTTAATTTTTAAGGTGCTGTGATGGGACAAGTATTATTCCTTGATGTATTCAAAATACCCCTGATAATAACATTTTCCCAGTTTGGTCTTAACTCTACAACTTTTACAATATACCAAGCGGTATTTGTTCTGACCTCACCTCAAAAGACAACCCAGCAGCTGAGAAAGTTGTATTCACACAACACCCAACACCCAACACCCAAAACTAGACTGATTAATATGTTTACTGACCACCCACAGCAGGGGTGGACCAGCGAGATCTGAAAACCAGGGCTCTGAATCATAAGATAAGCTTAGAAAAAACTGATCAGAGGGCAGGAAAATGGCCACTTTGCTCATAAATTTCATGTACACAATACGGCTGTTTGATGTTGTTTCCACAGTTTGAACAAGTGTTGCAACATAATTAATAAATTGTGAATATTTCAGATGGTTTATTAGAAAAATAGTTCCCGGGGGTGGACAGTGAGGCAGACAAAAGACTCACTGCACTCCTTTTTTTCTTCTTCTTTCAAATTTCTTTGGAAAATTCTGAGGTAAGAAGTTAGTAAGAATTGATCAAAAGTCTCATGTGAAATCACTGTAGTAAAGCAAAAAAAAAAAATAGAAGTTTCGTACAAATTTGATAAGCAAAGCAGGTCATGTGGGACACACACTCATACACACATACTGGGTATGTTCAATAAAAACAACTCACAACAACTTGAACCTGATAATTCTGGAAAATGTGCACATTTTTGTTTTTCATTTGTAATGTTACTGTTGTTGCAACATCTACATACTAGCTGGGAAAACCTTGAATTCGTACTTAACCAGTGTTACATTTGTAAAAACAGATACAATCAAACATGACATGATATTACTGCTGCACACACAAGTGTGATAACATGCCCATTTCATTTCCATGAAACTCTTAACATAATGGCTTCTATGGTATAAAGTAGTCAGAAAAGGCATTCTTAAAATACTGTTATTGGAAAATGTAAATCCAAAAGAAAATGACACTGCATTGCATTGCATGTTTGGACTGCAAGATAATTTTAAGTCTTGTGAGCTCCACAGTAATTAAATTATGTATGGCAGCCAGTAGTTTTGTTTAAAATGTCTATCAATACTGGCATCGTGTACTGTATACAGATAAGGATTAAATGGTAGAGGACTGCAGATAAATGAAGACTATCATCTGCAGAGGGCACCAAATCCTGTTTAAAATGTAAAGACCTGACATGGAAGTCAAGAAAAACAGAGTGGTGTTTATACTGCTGTGGGTTCAAGTTCATCAAAACTTTTTATAACCCTCATAATTTAAGCATTTTGTCCAAGCATGGAAATGATTAGGTCTGCAGTTTGGAATAAATGTGCCACTAATGACCATTAAATAGCTTATTTTAAGCATATGGACATTAAACAAAAGAGACTAGAGGCATTAAAAGCCAGCAGTGGAAATCAATGGATAATTAACCAAGAAGTCACTTTTTTCACATTCTTACGTGTCGCTGTTTTATTATTCTGACTGCCGCTAGTTTCTGCATGAGTCCAGATTGCTGCTGTGAGCCTTAAGAAACGCATGTGAAAAATATCAGTTTCATCACCAGTTTGACAGATTCCCAGCATACATCCTGCTTAGATACTGCAGCTCAGGGACCAGACAGGACACGCTCTTCACACATATGGAGGCAATAAACTGTGGCTTCAGCTCACCTTCACATGCTGTTTAACCGTATCATACCCAATGATATTTTTTGTTTTTGGTCACAATACAATGCACTTTCACTTAATTACTGAGTTTTCTACTGTGCGTGAGTAAAAGAGAGACTGTTGATGATTCTTCTTTGAATAAATTTACAGCAAATACACTACACTGTACTTTAACCTCTTTATACTTCATGTTTTCTGTATTTTGTTATGTAGCTTTAGTACATGCGCAGCATACAGTTCATTATGCACCTCATACAGTATGTGTATCATATTCTACCAAATCACTCTGATCCTTTACTGTAGCTCTTCTCAACCATGGGAGTACATCAGACTTGTATTGAGTATACTGCAAATATATTGCATGTCTATTGCCAGATGAAATTCCATAAGGAAGTTATAAATTTACTGTGTTTCTACCAAGGTGTGCAACTAGAACAGGCTGGTGATACATGGTGGTGTTCTTTTGTTCATGTTGGTTCATGTGAGTAACGTATGGAAGGCTGACTTCTTCTAAAGCTTTAGAAAAACAAATCACTATAAAGTTGTACGGGTGTAGTTCCTATCCACCAGTCCGATAAAAAGCATGAACAGCCATTTAGAATTATCCCCACTGCACAGAATAAAACTATGGTACAGATACTATGACCATCTGTTGTTATTGCTCTTCATCAACAGTTCCCACACGCAGAAGGCGCATTAAAATTGAATTTAACCTAAAACAGCCTGTTAGCATTCTTTTGTACAGGATGAGCAGGGAGCAGTGGAATCACAATACAATGATAAATGAGCAATGATAAACCGGCCAACAGTCAAATGATATACACATGCCTGCTGAAAGAAGAATATGAAGCAAAATAAATTTCATAATAGTTTATTGGCTTCATTGATCCTCAATGATTCAAGTTATTTCAGTTGTGTAAGATGTGTTTTCATGGTATTCTGAGAATAAAGATGTAATTAAATGACTATAAATGTTAATTTAGGGAAGAATTCAGTGGATGAAGCCAGACATGAGCCTTTAATAAATGTACAGCTCAGCTCATTATATTGGCCTGCTTTGTGGATCTCTTAAACACCTCTGTTATAATGCTCATTTTACTCCATATCAAACAAATTAGCTCATAAAACTGTTTTGCCCCAGTTTCTTTTTGACTGACCTCTTGTTGTCCTAGACTGCTGGTCTTTATTTTAATCACTGTGCACATGAAAGAACTCCGTTACATTTCAAGATCAGCCAGTTATATGTCACAGACCTATTTTGTACTTGTTGATCTTTTTGTTCTTTTTGCCAGACTTCATCATTTCATCTATGGATGCAGTTGTGGTAATAGTTTATCTTTTATACAGGGTTCTACACTTCTCTTCACTTTGGATCAGGCATTAATGTGTATAGTTGTTCCAGAACCTATTGTATTCTATGTAATATGACTACGTGATGGTTTATGTTTATGGAGAAAATAATGGTCAAGAGTGATTGATGATGATGTCACCTAATGATACGTCTCTATGTCTGGTATGCCTTTGAAATTAGGGCAGGGTAGAGGTCAGAAGGAAAGAGCAGTAGCTATGGGCCTGAAGACTTGTTAACAGTTTTCTCAGGTATTCACCTCACCTGTGTAAACCAGCTGCTGCTTGTGTGCCAAAAACAGGAGCTCTTCTTGGATTTACTGAACTGCCAAAAAACAACATTGGTGACACACTTACTAGTGGATCTGTCGCAAGTAGACCATGATAAATGGAACTTT